TAAGCTCAGGAAACCCTAGTGAGGTCAGAGAAAGCTTCCTTGAGATAACCAAGGAAGGAGAGGCATGGACCAGAGGGGAAAGAAAGAGCAATTCAGGCAAAGGGAACTGCATATGCAAAGGCCCTGTGGTGGGTCAAGTGTGTCAGTAACTATAAATAACTGGAAAAAATGCCAGCACAGTGATTCCATTATCTTCTGGCCGATGGTGCTGAAGTGAACTGGACTGTTTATTCTTCCCACTGTAAATGGCCTGTTTATCCTACCTAAATGCTTATAGATGTTTTCCTGTAAGTGTTGATTTGTTTTTGTTCATGTTCAAATAAATTTTTTTCTCTCTCTCTTCTTTCTTTCTCTTTTTCCCTTTCTTTCTTTCTCTCTTTCTCTCCTTTTTTCCTTCCTTCCTTCCTTCCTTTCTTTCTTTCTTTCTTTTCTTTCTTTCCAGTCCCGCCGTGTCACACCAGGCTGAAGTGCAGTGGTGCAATCGCAGTTCACTGCAACCTGCCTCAGCCTCCCTAGTAGCTGGGATTACAGGCGCCTGCCGCCATGCCAGTTAATTTTTTTGTATTTTTAGTAGAGACGGGGTTTCCCCATGTTGGCCAGGCTGATCTCAAACTCCTGACCTCAAGTGATCTATCCACCCCGGCCTCCCAAAGTCCTGGGATTACAGGCGTGAGCCACACCACCCAGACCATTTTAAAATAAATTTTCTTAAGACTCAGAGGGCCTCTTCATTCTGGAAGGTAACCTATTAATATACCTTTGAGTATTTTCATTTTTAAATTACTTTTGAGCTTTTCTTTAAATGTGGTAAATTTGCATTGCTCATCTGCCACAGCCATGCTCTGCCTTTTAAAAATCCCACTGGTCTTATTTCCATTACATTCCAAGATTGAGTCTCTTCTTTACTTTCAGTATTGAGCTTTGTTATTTTTACTTTTTTTCTTTCGTGTCTTAGTTTTGGAAAGGGCTATTTTGGGGTACCTGGACTTCTGCTACTGTCTTCCAAAGTGTCTGGGTCTGTTATTGAAAAGGCACTTAAGAAGCGCTTTCCTCCAAACCCTTTACGATAATATCAAGGAGATATTTAGAGAATCCACTGTGGTTAAAATGACCTCTTCAATTTTTAAGAATCTTCTCACTTGTTCCTTAAAATTGTACTTACTTAGCCGACAGAGAAAGTCAGGTCATTCACTCAAATGCGCTTCCCTTCTCTGTTTTTCTGAGCCTATTCTTGAAGTCATAACTTTGATTCCAGTTTTTCGGCTGGATGATACATGTTTTTGAGAAAATTTTTTCAGACAAACAAAATGGCCATTTACATTCTGACCTATTGCATTAGGAAAATAGCTTTCTCCTACTTTTATACAGAATATCCTAACTGAAAATATGATCCCTGGCTGAATGAGACCACGTTATCCTCTAATAGTATTGGCTTCTTTTGTGTGTGTGCGTGATCTAGTGTTTTCGAAGGCAGCCTTGATTGTTTTTTCCTTTGTTAATATGTTGGGTTTCTGTCTGATCTGAATTTTAGAAATTTGAAAGATTGTCAGCTGATGTGTGAATATCATCTGCTTACTAAAGATCCTATAACAGAATAAAACCTTACTTGATTTATTTAAAAAAAAATTGTACTTACTTGTGACAAGCAGTTGGGGAAGAACATCTTCCTGATTTATGGATGAAATATACAGTCCTTCAGGTGTGATGCCTTGAAAAGACTGGGGGAAGACTTCCTCGCTCCAAATGATCTCCCCAGTTGCTGTGGTACCTCGTACTCCACCAATCACAGTTTATTATTGCTCCACTAGTGTAAACTTTATTTATCAGATGTAGTGGCCTGGAAAGCTCCTTCGTGCCCTCCAAGACGAATGTGCTTCTGTGGAAGGGAAGAAGTAGAAAGCAACCCAAGCCCTGTCATTTCCTTACAATAGCAAGAGGGAAGCAGAACAATAGAACACCCAGCTTAAAAGATGACTTTTTTCCAAAAACAGTTTTTTAGGTATTGAGAAATTTTTGTAAAAAGTTTTATTTGAATGATGAAAATTCTTAGGTTATTGGGCTAGTTAGTTGGTTACCCCTCTTTTACTCTTCAAAACCTATTAATAAGAAGAGTTTGTGAGGAAGCATCTCAGAGCTTTGCAACTCACCAGGGAAGAACTGCAGCCGACTTACCCTTCAAGAGGACTCCCATTTCCACAAGAGAGGACAGAGATTCAATGCCTTCTCTGATTGGCATCTTTTCCTTCTTTCTTCTTCTCTTTCTTTCTTTTTTCTTTTCTTTTCTTTCTTTCTTTTTTTTTTTTTTTTTTGAGATGGGGTTTCATTCTGTCTCCCAGGCTGGAGTGCAGTGGCACAATCTTGGCTCACTGCAACCTCTGCCTCCCGGACTCAAGTGACTCTCGAACCTCAGCCTCCCGAGTAGCTAGGACTACAGGTCCATGCCAACATGCCTGGCTAATTTTTGGATTTTTAGTAGAGACAGGGCTTCATCATGTTGGCTAGGCTGGTTTCGAACTCCTGACCTCAGGTGATTCACCCACCTCAGCCTCGCGGTGTGCTGGGATTATAGGTGTGAGCCACCGCACCCGGCCTGATCGTGGGTTTTCTCTTATTGACTTTGGATCTCGATGTTAGTGGATAGATTGTCTTTACTCCTCAGTAAAGACAAAGTAGTAAAGTAGAAAAGCACGTTCGAAACTAGGAAAAAAGTCATTCCTGAATTAAAGTCTATAGAGATAATAAGGAAGAAGCAGAAACTTGATTAGAATAGTGCAAAATTGGACTTGGACCAACTTTCATATAGCAAAAATCTTATGAAATAAATTTGGTGGTTCTTCAATGTTTTTGGTAGCCTCTTTTTGGAAAATGAATATTTTGGGTATTTGTTGGCACTGTGGAGTACAGGTGCTAAGTTTAGAAGTAGGATGACTTTTTGTTGTTGTTGTTTACGTATTAATAAGCGTATGGGTCACAATCCTAATTGATTGACTCTAAGATACCTTTACTTATATCACATCATTATTTTATATACCACTAAGATAGGAAAAAATGCTCCCTGTGGAATTATGACACACTGATTTCAGAGATGCTAATGTGTGAAAAAATATGCTTCTTAGAGTCAGTGAGATGGAGGATATTCCTTAAACTCACAAGAACAGAAAAAATTCATATCCAAAACACCTTGTCTAACAGTGCATTGTTCATCTGTTTAACAGTGCATTCCATAAATAAATTTGTACTTTAAAATTCTATTTACTACATATGATATTTCCAAGAACAGTCAAGGTTATTGATAGAATACTGTCATATTCAGAGAATTAACAAAGTGACCTTAAATCTATAAAGGATGCCCGGTATATCCCATCACGTTTTTAAGAACTTCCACTGTTTTGTATTTTGGGTCCTGAGCAAAGCAATCTTGTCCCTGTAGATAAGTCCAGGCCAGGGTGTAGGGACCACGTTCATTGTCTTCCTCAACACGTTCTACGCAAAAGCCTCTCATTTCCACCGTAAGGTACTACTAATCCCTAAAAATGAATTTTATCCAAAATCTAAAAGTTCTGCCTCACTCATCACATTCCTGAACATTCCAGGAAGTCTCACCCCGGGGCTAATGAAATTACTATGTTCTTTGAATCAAGTTTGATCAACTACCTCTTGCTTCAAAGTTTAGGCAATTCTACCTGAGAAGCTGCTTCTTCTTTCTTCTTCTTCTTTTTTTTTTTTTTTTAGACAGTCTTAGTCTGTCACCCAGGCTGGAGTGCAGTGGCATGATCTCAGCTCACTGCAATCTCTGCCTCCCTGGTTCAAGCAGTTCTCCTGCCTCAGACTCCCAAGTAGCTGGGATTACAGGTGTAATTAGCAACCAAGCCCGGCTAATTTTCGTATTCTTAGTAGAGATGAGGTTTTGCTGTGTTGGCCAGGCTGGTCTTGAACTCTAGGGGTCAAGTGATCCACCAGCCTCAGCCCCCCAAAATGCTGGGATTATAGGCATGAATCAGTGTGCCTGGCATGCCTGGTCTTAGTATTCATATTTTTAATGCCATGCTAAGATTATTATAGTGTGTGCGGTATCTGTATAAAGGATTGTACATGGTGAACAATTACCCACAGTCCTACCATCTTTGCCTTGGTTACATTTTAGCATGTCTCCTTCCACTTCCTTACCTTACACATTTTTACATAGTTGAGGTCATTTTAATGTGCGATTTTTCTTTATTCAACATCGTGTTAATCAAAAAGTGTCATTAAAGGCTTTGAACCAGTTGATTGTTTTATTCTGCCGATATGTTAAATATTCTTCTATTTCTTATTATTTGGGCTGCGTCCATTTTATTTTTGCAATTCTAAATCATGTCAAAACGAACATATCTGTATATAAATCTCTGTCCTAGATTTTGATAGAGGGACACCATCAACTTTCATACACTTAATGTGATGCACTTAAATTTCTTTCAAGGGAAAAAGAGGTCATGACATTTTATAACTCAACCAAAATCTGTCCAGATTTTGATAGAGGGACACCATCAACTTTCATACAATTAATGTGATGCACTTAAATTTCTTTCAAGGGAAAAAGAGGTCATGACAATTTATAACTCAACCAAAGAGACAGGAGTGAACATGAGAGAGTGGCTTTGTTTATTTAATATTATTGTTATATCAGTTCAAAGTTGAACTTACTGAGGAGACAGACTCAGTCACTTTGTTGCTGGTGGCATTATCCACTGTGTTTGGAGCTGGGAAACCATTGTTTTCTTCACCTAGCCAGTATCTCCCCTACTTCACTTGCCCCATGGAAATTCACCATCATTGAAATTGTACCAGAAGCCCAAACAGCACTGTAAATGCTCCTAGTGGTACCCGTCTGCTACATGCTTGGTCTTCCCCTCCAGTAAGTGGTAGGTATCGCCAAAATCACCAAACAGGATCGTGTCTGCCTTGCAAACCAAACAAACACTTCTGTTTTTGTTTTGCTTTGTGTCTGGACTAATTCATAGCACCTCTTCTGCCTGTGAGCGATCTGTCACCTCATTCTGTAAGACTGGCACCAGCCGAAATGCAGTCTCAGAGGATCCCGGGGAGAAAGCGAGGCCGACCCTCACTTCACTCCACACCTATGAAGATGGCAGTTCATAACCTTTATTCCGCCTCAGCTGGCTCTTTACCAGCAGTGAAGATCCCAAAGAAAAGAGGGCGGAAACCTGGGTACAAGGTACGGCTCTATCATCTCCTTCTCCACAGTGGTATTGGGCTGGGGCATGGGTACTTGGTCAGACCCGCACTGCAAAATGCCACTAGAGGTTGGGAGCTTGGTAGAGATAGGACGAGAAACAAGCCTCCCTCAGTGAAGCATGTGACGGATGAGGTCTGTTATAACACGGCACATAATGCATGCTGTCCTGTGCATTTTTCCAAGTGGAGAAAGCAAATTACACCAGATGGGGAAAGTTGTGAGTGAGCAGATTTTAGGGTCATCGCTAAACACACATGATTAAACCTTGCATCTAAATTAGTGTTTCAGACACTGAGCTTTCCCCTGACTGTTCCTACTAGGGTAAATCTTGAAGCTACTTTCCAGAACTCATTTGTCATTTATTTTAGCAGGAGCAGATGATGTTCCTGAGACATTTAAGTTAATAACGCAAGCAGGCCAGTGTCAAAGACATAGAAAAGTCTTCCCAAACAGAATCTCAACACAGAGAGTCATCATGAAAATCCAGCTTATTAAGTCATAATTTCTCACTGCTAAAAGGTGCTGACATCGAGTTTGGCTACAAGGAGGCATACCAGGCGAAATTACATTCCTGTGACCCTTTTAAGAATTAGCAGCGATTTGGAGAGGCTGGGGTGGAGAATAAATCCTCAGATGTAACCACAATCATAAACCAACTCAAACCCAAGGGAGGGTTGCTTCTGTAAGATGCTTTGGAATAGGCTGCTAGAGAGGAAAAAATATTACGCTCGTTCTTCACAGACCTTTCAGGCATTAGAAAATGAGCTTCAGAAGTTTCCTTTCACCTATTTTTCTTGAAATAAGGGCTTATGTTTCCATCTTGAGACCTGAGTACCAAAATCAGAATGCAAATTGGCAATTAACTCCCATATATTTAGGAAAATATATGGAAATTATTTCAGGTCAGTAGCAAGAGCTGCTGGAAGAGTTGGTAATGAATTCAGCCCTTATCCCTTTGGTTCTTCATAGTTCTTCCAAATGCTGGAAAATAAAAGCAGTCGGGTGGGGGGAAGGCTCCTCAAAGTTACTTTGGGTCATTGGTTGTAGTAAAAGAAGCTTTAACTCAGCTATCTCATGAGGTAAAGGCTTCTCTCACTGCTTGTTTTTCTGACAACAAGAATCTCCTTTCTTTCACGTGCATGCCAGCTTTAGAACTGTCTAAAGGCCAGTCTCACCCACTCAGCTCTCCGTGCAGCTGTTGGCTTCTGGGAATTGCATCTGGAGGGCTGGAGCAGGGCAGCCTTTCTGTTTATAGATCCAGGGAGCAAATCCAGGATCTGAAGAAACACACTGAAGACTGCTCTCTCCTGTTTGGCCTTTGTGCTACTCTCCTGGGGGCCGTGACCCAAGAATGAAAATTACCAACAGACTCAACATTCCTGGGGCCAGGAAGAATGGAAAATTCATTCCATGAAATGAACCTGATTTCGCAATTTTCCTGTCTCGAAAGGGTAGTTTTCAGCTCTTGTGACACTCAGAGACACCTGAGATTGGAAAGAAATCTTTGGGGTTGGTTGGCTGACAATACAGGGCTCTGGCCAAAGCAGGCAGCCTCTTCCAATTTCCTCACAGACTTTCTCTTCTGGACCGTAGGCACTGCTCTTCCTTGAATCTACTTCCCATATATTTAGGAAATTGTACGGAAATGATTTTAGGTCAACAACTCCCAGCTTCCCAAGCTATGGGCTTAATGTTCTAGAATAAGAGGTTCCAAACCAGGCGCCCGTCTGCACGAAGTTCTCACCCATCCATGGTGTCATAAGAAAAACAAGAGCCATTTGACAGTCTTCATAAAGTTCAAATGAGTCTTCTTAAAGGATGATCCTTTCTTCTGAAATATCTGCTTCCTACTATCTTGGCAGTAAAATGTTTGGTTTTATTAAATGTTGTATGTTAATAGGATTTAGTAATTAAAAAAAAATGTTCTTAGTTGGCAAAATAAAGTTGGCAACCTATTAATTGCCCCAGTTTTATTTTGACAATTTCCTAGGCCTGGACACCGCATTTTACCATTAATGACAGGACTTTAATTGTGAAGAAGCCAGCTCAGACATTGTACAGTTTCACTCCATTTGCCAAATGGCCACTAATTTGACAATTTTAACTATCTGGGACACAGCTGGGGAGCCAGAAGTTCTTAAAAAAAAATCCTGACCAAGCAAAGTAAGGTATTACTTGGTCTAACTTTTAAAGATCTTGTATTTTATTGCTAAGAAAACTGCTTCCAGATTTTCCATCAGAATTTGTTTACATTTTTTTGTTAACATGTTTTTTACAAGCTCAATTACAGCTGGTTAGTAGCCTTAGATTTGAAGGGGAAGGTATTTTGGGAGAGAGGACTGTGTACACAGCTGTATACCGGGAGAATAATAATTACTTTTGTAATGAGATGATAATATACTAACAAGAGAGAAATAATACAGTAATATCAATCTTATAAAATAAGATAATTTTATTATATCAATAACATTATTACAATGATACATTGATGTTAACAATAGCATCATCATAAAAGAATATATATATATATATATTTTTTTTTTTTTTTTTTTTTTTTTGAGGAGGAGTTTCGCTCTTGTTACCCAGGCTGGAGTGCAATGGCACGATCTCGGCTCACCGCAACCTCCACCTCCTGGGTTCAGGCAATTCTCCTGCCTCAGCCTCCTGAGTAGCTGGGATTACAGGCACACACCACCATGCCCAGCTAATTTTTTGTATTTTTAGTAGAGACGGGGTTTCACCATGTTGACCAGGATGGTCTCGATCTCTTGACCTTGTGATCCACCCGCCTCGGCCTCCCAAAGTGCTGGGATTACAGGCTTGAGCCACCGCGCCCAGCAGAAGAATATATTTTTAAGCCTTGGGCAGTCTCTTCTCCAGGAGATTCTAAGGATACTTCGTTGCGTTGACTGTATAACAAGCCAATGCTGGTGACATTCGTCACTTCTTGCCTGGTGCTGTCCCAGCTGCCCTGTCAATCACCTCAGTGCACATGTGGGACCTCTCGCTGGTCTAAGAGCTCCCTTCAAGTCCCAAGAACTTGTAACACAGGCTGTGACACTTAACTGCTTCCTGAGTCTTGAGGACAACATGAGTGATTTGCAGGCAGATAAGGGAGGGTTACGCTGGCTGGTGGGCAGGTATCAATACTCTAGAGTTCATAAGTCAGGCCCCCTCCCAGGGTCCCATCTGGCCAACTCCTTCTTGGCCCCAGGCTTGTAGCCACATGGCTAGGGCAGGCCCACGGCCGGAAGAGTATCACATTTTATGGTGCTACTGTCCCCTTCTTGTCCTGGTCAAAGAAAGCAAAACCTCTGAACGTCGTATGTTCTATGAAGAGCCATACTCTGATGACTATGAAAATAGCCTTGTTCGTTATCAGACACAGCATTTACCTTTCTTTCCGTTTGAAACATCGGCTATTGGCTGAAGTCCTTAGTTCAGAGACTCCCCAAGATCAATAGGTAGATTTTCCTTATATTTCATGACCAGGAAGACCACTAAGGTATTTTCGAAGAGACAGAGAGGGGCTGCACTAAGGACAAATCCTAGTTTCCATTCTGTCGATGCAGCTGGTTATCATGTCTCTCATTGTAAGATTTCCACCTTCTGTGTCTTCCTGGTTGAGATTTTTATTTAAGCAGAAGAAACAAGCGCTGGGTTTTGAAAAATAGCTGTTTGTCCCCAATACAAGGTAATAATAATACTAATAGCAATCACAATCTTATAAAATATTTATTGAATACTTTTACCTTTGAGGCTCCAGGTGGAAGCGCTTTCTGCCTATGTGTTATTTGATCCTTGATAGTTTGAGAGTGAGAGGAAGGAACTGCAGAGAAACCGCAGGCCTTAGGCACGAATCAGCCAAGCCCACAGGAGGCAGCCGCCCTCCGCTGCTCAGCCATCGCTTTGTGTTACTATTCAGATAGCAATTAACGCTTCTCAAGTCAACAAAGACTAAGTGGTATTCTGTCTGCTCTGTCTAATGAGTTAAGAAAAGTGTGGCATGTTCTAGAAAGGATATTATCCTTGAAATATTAAAAGCAAAATCATTAAAATATCTTAAAATGTTGGTAATTGTGTCATTCGGGATACAAATTCAGCTAGGGCCAAGTAACAGTGGCTTTAAAGAAGAGAAGCTAATTTCTCCCTCATGGCAAAGGTGGGAAGGCTGATAACGATGGCTCCACGGGGTGTGGACCTGCGCTGCTCCTGTATTGTTGCTCTGTCACCAGGCTGAGGTGCAGTGGCACCATCACAGCTCACTTTAGCCTTGACTGCCCAGGTCAAGCAACTGAGTTGTGGAGAATACAGATGCGTGCCACCATGCCAGGCTAATTTTTTACTTTTTTTTTTTTTTTTTTGTAGAAATGATGTCTCACCGAGTTCCCCAGTCTGATCTTGAATGCCTGGGCTCGAGAGATCCTCTCGCTTCAGCCTCCCAAAGTGCTGAGGTTACAGGCGTGAGCCACCATGCCCAGCCAGCCCTGCCATGTTAACACACAATTTCCCAGCCTGGCCTAAGGCGGCTGCTCCAGATCCCACTGTCCCACTGTTTTAGCCAACAGAATGGGAACATAGAGCTAGCAGAGGGCACACTTGTCTCCTTGAAAGACTCAGTTCTTGAAGTTGCACATCTATTGCAATTTGCATTCCCCAGGCCAGCAGTTAGTCACTTGGGTTCTCCAAGGGAAGCTAGAAAATGTAGTGCTGGTTACTGGGTGATCAGCTAAAATTCAGGAAGTCCTTTTTTTTTTTTTTTTTTTTTTCTGAGACGGAGTTTCGCTCTTGTTACCCAGGCTGTAGTGCAATGGCGCGATCTCGGCTCACTGCAACCTCCGCCTCCTGGGTTCAGGCAATTCTCCTGCCTCAGCCCCCTGAGTAGCTGGGATTACAGGCACGCGCCACCATGCCCAGCTAATTTTTTTGTGTGTTTTTAGTAGAGATGGAGTTTCACCATGTTGACTAGGATGGTCTCA